TATTTGCCCTGCCTACTTCAAGAAGGTGTTGAAAAGTGGAAGCAAAATAGTAAATACTAGAAAATAACCAGACATTTTAGAGTCAGACACATCTGCTGGGTCCCATCTCTGATATTCCCAGCTATGTGACCTGTACCAGTGCCTTAATCTCCCTGAGCCTTAAAACATTGTCATCTATGGATAAGGTTGATCATACTGACCTCAAAAGACATTTGAGAAATGCCTAGATATAAAATGGCTGGCACTTAGTAGACACTCAGGAAAAAATCTTTCATTTCCCTTTGTTCTTGTTCACCTCAGAGTTATCCTATATAATAAAAGCCTCATATGCTAAAAAATAAATAAATAAATAAATAAAAATAAAAATAAAATATGTATTTTTAAACTAAATGGAAAAAAATATATCCTAGGGCGAGGCTAACAACAACACATTGGCTTGGTTCTGGTCCATAACCAAATGTCAGTCTTTACTAGTATAATTAACTCAACTGTGTGACTAAGGAACAGAACAGAGAGAAAAGAAACTTGAAAATTGTTTCACAATTTTGTTCTCTATAAACAGCCCTAGCTCGTTAATTCAATTGTTTGATCTCAACACTCATTTACAATCTTAAAAAAAAAATTGTTTTTATTGATTTTTAAAGAGGAAAGGAGAGGAAGGGAGGGAGAGAGGGAAACATCAATGATGAGAGAGAATCGTGGATCGGCTGCCTCCCGCACACCCCACACTGGGAATGGAGCCCGAAACCTGGGCATGTGCCTGAACGGGAATGGAACCATGACCTCCTGGTTCGTGGTCGATGCTCAATCACGGAGCCACGCCGGCCAACTGGCTCGGGTCTTGGTCATTGGCGTGTCCGTGATGTTCTCCACACTCCAAACGCAGGGGCAGCAGCCGGCGTTCGCAGCGCACGCCAGAAACCGGCTCTCCGTCCCCAAGCCGGGAATTGCCCAGGTTCTGACAAGCCCAGGGGTTTCGAGCCCAATCTCTCCCCGGAACCCGGGTGCAGAGACCCTCGCCAAGGGGTGCGCTTACCGTCGGGAGGGGTGCTGCGAGCCATGTCGGTTGGCAGGAGTCTCGGTTGCGGCCTGCGACCAGGAAAGACACGGCGTGGCGGTCAGCGGGTTTTATTCCCCAGGCCCTCCCTGGTCCGGGGCAATGAGTGATCCTACACATCCCCCTCTTCTCATCCCACCAATCTGTAGTTGTTAATGCTCACCTGAGCCCTCTGTTTTCCCACAGAGGGAGGGGAAGGCGAGAGAGGGGATCACTGATGAGAGAGAAGCAGCAATCAGCTGCCTCCTGTGCGCCCGCTCCTGGGGATTGAGCCCGCAACCTGGGCAAGTGCCCTGACTGGGAATCAATCGAAGTAACCTCTTGGTGGTTGGGGCGTCGCTCACCCACCAGGCCACACGGTATCTTCCCATTGCCTTTTTTTTTTTTTTTTTTTTACAGAGTGGAAGGGAGGAGGAGAGACAGAGAGAGAAACATCGATCTGAGAGGGACCTACCGATTGGTTGCCTCTCGCACTCACACTGACCAGGGCCAGGGGTCGAGCCGGCGGCCAAGGTATGTGTCTTTGGCTGGAATCGAACCCGGGACCCTGCAGTCCTCGGCCCCCTGAGCTGAACCGGCCAGGGCACCACCTTCATTTCTTAGACAGAAATGACAGAATCTAAGAAGGACGCAAGAGGGCTCCTTTTCTTTTCTTTGTTTAATTTTAGAGTACATTTATTGAAGCTGGAGATAGTGAGCCCAGCCAGTGTGGCTCAGGGGTTGAGCTATGAACCAGGAGGTCAGAGTTCGATTCCCTTCCCGGTCAGGGCACAGGCCAGGGTTGCAGGCTCCATCCCCAGTGTGGTGAGTGCAGGAGGCAACCAATGAGTGGTTCCCTCCATCGTTGATGTTTCTCTCTCTCTCTCCCTCTCCCTCTCTGAAGTCAATTTAAAAATCCTGTATAATAAAAGGGGTAAGGGGAGGTGGGAGAGGATAAAGGGCCGATAGATGGCGATGGAACGAGACTAGCCTTGGGGTCGTGAACACACACGGCAATGTACAGACGATGTGTTGTAGAACTAATGGGAGGAAAGGAGACATGTGTACTGCCATTCGTAATACTTCAAACAATAATAAGTAAAATTTAAAAATATGTAAACAAACATAAAATCAGAACTGTATACCCAAAACCTATGTAATTTTATTAACCAACAAATTCAATAAAATTTTTTAAAGGGAAAAAGGACCTACTCACCCCCGCTGGGAGCCAGGTGTGGCCCTCCATTGCCGAAAGGAAGGTGGTTGTGGTCAACCACAGGTGTCAACAGCCAAGGCAGCAACCAGAACAGCCTGAGGTGGCCGACCTACAGCATCGGCTGGTTCATCACGGTGTTCCTGGAAGCAAAATATGTAAGAAGCCTACTCAGCGCTCACTGGATCTGTATTAACAGAACGTTCTGGGTTTAAGCGAACAAAACCTAGCCCAGATCATAGAAACAGACAGTCACGGCATGGCAACCAATGCCCCGACTGGAGGCAGTTTACAGACTCAGGAGATCTTGAACGAGCCCTGGCCAGGGAGCTCCAGAGGTCGGAGCATCAGCATACAGCCAGGCTGTGGGTTCCATCCCTCGTACAAGAGGCAACCAATGAATGCATGAATAAGAGGAACAAATCAGCCGAAACCAGTTTGGCTCAGTGGAGAGAGCGTCAGCCTGCAGACTGAAGGGTCCCGGGTTTGATTCCAGTCAAGGGCATGTACCTTGGTTGCAGGTGCATCCCCAGTAGGGGGTGTGCAAGAGGCAGTTGATCAATGATTCTCTCTTATTGATGTTTCTAACTATCTCTCTCTTCCTCTCTGTAAAAAATCAATAAAATATATTTTTTTACAAAAGAGGAACAAATTAGTTTCTCTCTCCAAAATCAATCAATAAATTGCCCTAGAGGATTGACCTGTGGACCAAAGGGTCCCGGGTTTGATTCCAGTCAAGAGCACATGCCTTGGTTATGAACTCTATCCCCAGTGTGAGGCGTGCAGGATGCAGCCGATCAATGATTCTTTCTCATAATGGATATTTCTCTCTCTCCCTCTACCTTCCTCTCTGGAATCAATAAAAATATATATTTTTAAAAAGGTATAAAGCCCTAATCACATTTCTTTGTTAGCCACAAGGGGCACCCTTGGCATTCCTATATGGTAACTTTTTAAATATTTTTATTGATTTTTTACAGAGAGAAAGAGAGAGGGATAGTCAGAAACATCAATGAAACATAGATCAGCTGCCTCCTGCATGCCCCCCTGCTGGGAATCAAGCCCACACAACCACGGTACATGCCCTTGATTGGGACCTTTCAGTTCACAGCCTGACACTCTGTCCACTGAGCCAAACTGGTCAGGGCTCAATATAATAATTTAATATTAAGTTAAACATCCAAGTGGATCATACTACATTACCCATCATGTGTAATATAATCCATTTGTAGCAATGGATCAATACCAGATTTGATCTGGTTAGACAAAAGTATATCCTTTTTTTAAAATATGTATTTTTATTGATTTCAGAGAGAGAAAAGGAGAGGGAGAGAACTGCCTCCTGCATGCCCCCCACTGGGGGATGGAGCCTGTAACCAAGGCCTGTGCCCTGCCCGGGAATCGAACCGTGCCCTCCTGGTTCCTAGGTGAAAAAGAAGCTCAACCACTGAGCCACGCTGGCCGGGCTATCTTTTTTTTTTTTTTTTTTTTTTTTTTTTTTTTTTTTTTGAGATAAAGTATGGTTTAAGGATCTGCGTATGGCTGCCAAGCTGACAAGGAGTGGAGTATGATGGATAGTTTTACAAGTAAACTTGTCTAGGCCAGCAGTCGCCAACCTTTCGGACCTCATGGACCACCGTTGGGCGACCACTGGTCTAGGGTGGAATTCAGTTATTGGGTCAAACCCTAAACTGGGTGTTGCGCTGAAGGGATTGTGTAGATGTGCTTACCATCTGCAATGCGGGCAGCCACGGTGGCCTCAGAGACTCCGAATGGGCCGCGCTGACGGCGGGAGGCCTGCTCTCACCAGGCCTCAGCGGAGGGCAAATCCATCCCTCCAGTGACTAGGGCCCAACTGCGTGGTTCAGGCGTCACCTGAAGGGCGCGGTTCCGAAGTTGGGGCGTCACCTGAAGGGCGTGGTGGTTCGGGAGTTGGGGTGTCACCCGAAGGGCGTGGTTCGGAGGTTCGGAAGTCGCCTGAAGGGCGTGGTTCGGCAGTTCGGGCGCGGTTCGTTGGTTCTGGTACCGACAGTGGAGCGCGTGAGGTGCGCCGGGCGCGAGGAATGGAGGCGGGACTTCCGGCGCCCTCCTCAGGAGGGTTTTCCGTTACGTTTTCCGTCGCTGTCTCTCCGGGAGTGAATCTGGGGAGGAGGCAGCGGGGATGGGGGAGGCGCCAGATGAGCCCGGGGACCAGCCCCGCGCCCTTGCACCTGTCCGGACCTGGGGCGACGTTCCCTGCCTCCAGGGCTTCCATTTCCCCCTCAGCTTCGGTGGCCGGCGCGCCTCTGACTCGCAGAACGACGTCCCGGTTACGGCGTTCCTCGCGTCGTGAGGTAGAGGGAGAGCGAGGGAAACTACGTTACCCAGAAGACCGTGTTTCGTGGACACTGGCCAATGATGGCCCGGGATAGAGGGAAGCATTCCCGGAAGCTCCTGTACGTGGGGCGGGACTTCCGGGTTTTTCTCCGCCATCGCCATTTGCCTCAGCGGTGGGGCCCCGGCGGAGCCTGACAGACCGAGCGCGGGGTCGACGCTTCTCGTCCGGCTCGTCGGCGGCGGTGGCCTTCCGGGGCGGGGGCGGCGGACAGGCCTCACCCGGCGCCGGGGTCCGCGCGGGGGCTCCCCGCCACCGGCGCTTGGCCTGTTACCCAGCAGGCCCTCCGCCTCCCAGGAGCCTGTGCGCCCGCCCTTCACCCCCGCGGTCGCCGGGTGCTCGCTGTCCCCGCGTCGCTCGAAACGCAGGTTCGCACGATGGCGGCGGCGGCGGCGGCGGAGGCGGCCCCTACCCACCCCGCGCAGGTGAGTGGACGGGGATTTCGGAACCGACGGGCTGGGGGCCGGGACCCCCGCCGCTTGGACCCGGGCTCCGACAGGGTGGGGGCCCGACAGCGGGTCGCTGAGCCCCGGTTGTATATCCTCCGCGGTTTGCGCTCCTGGCACAGCCGGCCTGAGGGGGTGTCAGTCCTGTCGGGGTTCGGGGAGGAAACGGGGCGAACGCTTTGTGGCGGGGTCTCCTGGGACTCCGGGGGAGACCCGGGCGTGGCGGGGAGCGGGTCCCCTGACGGAAGAAGGGACCATGCCATCGTAAACCCCAACTCCCTCCCCCCCAAAAATAAAAATAATAATAATTAAAAAATAAACTCCAACCCCACGGCGTCCGGCGGGGACCCGGCCCGGCTCACCTGCCTGCCCCCCTCCCGCAGGTGACGTGACCTTTCCAGGCAGAGGCGCCCCGACCCAGGGGAGGTGTGTAGAGGGTGTTAGGAGGGGGGAGGCGGGTGGGCGGGGGAGTTTGCCTTGCCCGCAGCTGCTGAGGGTGCCAGTGGGTGGTGGTTCGAACCCGGGGTGGGAGGGATGCCCCCCACCTCGGCCGCCACGCACCCCGGTGTATCCTTGGCGGTTTGTGCCCCTGGAATCTCCTGGCCTCTGGGGTTAGTGCTGTCAGAGATTCAGGAAGGGGAAGAGGATGATGCTTTTATATATATATGTATGTGTGTATATATAGTTATATATTATATGTGTATATATATGTGTGTGTGATTGATTTTTTTTACAGAGAGAGAGAGAGTTAGAAATATCATGGATCAGCTGCCTCATGCACACCTCCCACTGGGGATGTGCCCGCAACCAAGGTCCATGCCCTTGACCGGAATCGAACCTGGGACCCTTCAGTCCGCAGGCCGACACTCTATCCACTGAGCCACACACACCAGTTTGGGGGAGGATGATGCTTTGCTGTGCCATCTCCCCGGGAGTCCCTTGGGTATGTGGGGATCGGGTTCAGGGCAGAACATGAGCAGGTAAGGGGCTGCTCTTACTGGTGTTTCTCCTGGGAGGTCCGCTGTCCCTGCTCACAGGTGGAGTTTTAGGGGCGACAGAAACGGATTCCACAGCAAAAATGGGAGTAGCCCTGACCAGTGTAGCTCAGTGGATAGAGCGTCGGCTTGTGGACTGAAGGGTCCCAGGTTCGATTCCCCGTCGAGGGCACTTTGCCCAGGTTGCGGACTCATCCCCAGTGGGGGGAGTGCAGGAGGCAGCCGACCCATGATTCCCTCTCATCGCTGATGTTTTCTCTTCTCCTTTCCTCTCTGAAATCAAAAATAAGTTTTTTAAAAATGGGTGTAAATGCTTCACCGCCTCCTTATCATGAATCTACTTTTTTAAAAACTTTTTTTGTTGTTGTTATTGATCTCATAGAGGAAGGGAGAGGGAGAGGGAGAGAGCGCTTTCTGGGTTGTGGGCTCCATCGCTGTCGGGGGTGTGCAGGAGGCAGCAAAGGTCCACTCTCACCTTGATGTTTTTCTCTCCCTCTTCCTTTCTCTTAAAAAAAAAAAGTCAATAAAAATATTGACAGTTTTTTACAAAACGAATTTGGGAGCAAACCACAGGAGATGGAACTTTGAGTCCCTTTGACCAGGAAATGGAGCCCTCAGCTCGGGGAGGCAGTTTCAGGATCGGGGAGACCTGTGGTTACCATCACAGATGTTCTAACTTCCTCATCCCTCTCCTGGAGCCCTCCTGACAGCCTCACCACCTAGTAACACTCCATTGTCTGTGTCCATTAACATCGACTCCTCCCAGAGGCAGGTTCTCGTCTGTGACCGTGTTGCACCCACAGCATTGCCGTCCCCGTCCCCCGTGAGCGAGCACAGAGCTCGGCCCAGCAGGCACGTGGACGTCTGTCCTTGACCACGACACAGAGACGGTCGCTGATCCCGTCAGCAGCCCCAAGGCCGTCACTGCGACCTCTGTCTTCCTTTCCAGGCGTCTGTGACCTTCGAGGACGTGGCCGTGACCTTCTCCCAGGAGGAGTGGGGGCAGCTGGACGTGGCCCAGAGGACCCTGTACCAGGAGGTGATGCTGGAGACCTGCAGGCTCCTGGTGTCTCTGGGTGAGTGCTCCTCCCCACCCCAGAGGGGGACCTGCCACTTCTGTATCCCACGCCTGCTTCCGGGCTGCTGGTCACGAAGCCTCGGGAGCCCTTGTTCTCCTCCCCGGCCGCAGTCACATGCTGGGCTCCGGGTCTCCTCTGGCTCCCAGAACGTGGTGGAAGGAAATGGGGGCATTGTGCCAAACCAGAGGGGCCCTGAGGGACTGATACAGGAGCTGGGGGCCCCGGGATTGTGCCCTGCCTTCTGGGTCTGCTCCTGTCATGCCGTTCAGAATGGCTTCTGTCCTCAGCGAGTTTGCAGCAGGGCTGGCCCCTCAGTCCCTGCTCTGTGGCCCCCCGAGTCCTCGTCTGTGCTTTTCTGCATGTTTCTGTTGTTTCTGCTTCTTTCTGGGGTGTCCAGGAGGCAGCAGTGGCCACCTGAGCCCATCCTTCCTGCCCTCTCCCCTCTGCCCGGCACAGAGTGGCCCCTGTCTAAGGTTCTCACTCGCAGCCCGACTGAGGGAGCCTGGTGGACCCACGCGCCCCCCAGGCCAGTGGTCAGGGCCGGGAGTGTGGGCCCCTCTCCATAGAGGGGGAGCAGGCCGGTCCCAGGAGGGAGGCCTCGGCCCTCATGGCCACCAGGTGTGGTTCTAAGCCCAGGTCTCTCTCTACGCCTCGTTACCCTCCTGTAGCGTCAGGAAGGCCTTTCCTGAGTCCAGTGCTTCCCACCATGGCAGTTCCTCCCCCGGGAGACACGGGGCAGTGCCTGTGGCCACTGGGAGGGTCGCAGCTGGGGTGGGGGTGGTGCTGGCATCGAGTGGGCAGAGTCCTGTCACATCTGCGTGGGCAAGACCTCGCCCTCAGCAAAGGATGATGCCGCCCACATGTCAGGAGTGCCAGGAGCCCTGCCGAGTCCTTGGCTGGTTAGAGCGTCATCCCAATACGCCAAGTAAAGCATCGCTCAGTTGCCTTACGTATGTGTGCGACTAGGGATCATACCCACAGCCTGGCAGGGGCCCTGACAGGGAATGGAGTCAGTGACCTTTCGGTGTACGGGGCGGTGCTCAACCAGCTGAGCTGCGTCGGCCAGGGCCACGGTTCCTTTTCTGCAGAAATCGGAGGAGATTAAAAAGTGGGTCACCTTTAGGAAAAGCAGCGACTGTCCCAGCGCAGGCCCCCTGAGCGCCGTTCATGCTCCACAGTGTCCATCGGTCCCTGCCGGGCTTCCGTGTACAGGGTGACTTGGTGACCGGGCGTGGGAAGTGAGTGCCGATAAGGAGGGATTTGTTACGCTCTCAAGGGAAGGGGACCCTGCCCGTCTGCAGAGCTGCGTGAGGAATCGGTAGGAAGACCATAATGGCCCAGAGCCCTGACCGGGGTGTCTCTGAGCACCGGAAGCCAGGGCAGGTGACTGAGGGGTGGCCAGCGGGAGCGCTGCCAGCGGCCCTGGGTGTGTGGAAGCTGGGGCTTGGCTGGCTGGGGTGTGGGAGTTACAGGGGTGGGAGGCTGTGGCTTTGGGTGTCCCGTGAGAGGTGTGCTGAGCCAGGAGTTAGCCAGCCAGCTAACAGTGTCAGAACCCTGTGAGATGGTAACGTTTTTTAAAAGAACGATTGATTTGTTGGTCCTCACGTTAAGGAAGCTTTGGGGTGAGGATGGTGGCGTTTGTTGCCAGGAAGAGCAGAGAAAAGCATTCAGAGAGGAGGAACACAGGGGACACAGGAAGTAGCTGCAGGAGGCCCGTGGCCCATTTGTATAACTCCAGCCGAGAAAATCCATTGGAACCTGGGGGGTGCCTGATGTCCTCGGGAAGTTGTGCTGCGTGTTAAAGCAGAGCGTGTGCGTCTGTGTGTGTGCGTGCGTGCGTGCACGTGTGGTATCAGGAGGAAGTGACACTTGAGCTGAGACCCAGAATTACAGGAGGAGGAGCAAGGTGTGGCGAGAACAGCTTTCCTGTGGAAGAGCTGACACATGCAGAGGCTCTGAGGTCACGGAGAAAAGCTCCTGCCAGAGCCGAAGGAATCCTCTGCCCCTCCCCGGAGCGCTGCTCTGCACTGACAGTGGACTCCGGGGAACCTGTGCCTTGTGACAGCAGCTGGGTCCCAGGCTACGGTCAGGACCTGCCAGGGAGCCTCTCTCCGGCTTCTCTGTAGACATCCTGTCCTGTCCCTGCACCTGAGCTTGGCTCCAGTGACAGGTTCGCTCATCTTTACCCTCCAGGAAGTCACTGTCACGCTAACGAAGCTCAGCGGTGGGCTGGCTCCTGTCTTGGTGGGTGCCAACCCCTGTCAGTGCCTTTGCTTCCTCCTGGGTCACCTCCCACAGTACCTGCTCGCCTCCCACGGCCCCCGCTCACCTCCCATGGCCCACAGTCACCTCCCACGGCCCCCGCTCACCTCCCATGGCCCACAGTCACCTCCCACGGCCCCCGCTCACCTCCCATGGCCCACAGTCACCTCCCACGGCCCCCGCTCACCTCCCATGGCCCACAGTCACCTCCCACGGCCCCCGCTCACCTCCCACGGCCCCCGCTCACCTCCCACGGCCCCCGCTCACCTCCCACAGCACCCGCTCACCTCCCACGGCACCCAGTCACCTCCCACGGCACCCAGTCACCTCCCACGGCCCCCGCTCACCTCCCACGGCCCCCGCTCACCTCCCACGCCCCCGCTCACCTCCCACGGCACCCGCTCACCTCCCACGGCACCCGCTCACCTCCCACGGCACCCGCTCACCTCCCACAGCACCCGCTCACCTCCCACGGCCCCCGCTCACCTCGCATGGCCCCCGCTCACCTCCCACGGCCCCCGCTCACCTCCCACGGCCCCCGCTCACCTCCCACAGCCCACAGTCACCTCCCACGGCCCCCGCTCACCTCCCACAGCACCCGCTCACCTCCCACGGCCCCCGCTCACCTCCCACAGCACCCGCTCACCTCCCACGGCCCACAGTCACCTCCCACGGCCCCCGCTCACCTCCCACGGCACCCGCTCACCTCCCACAGCACCCGCTCACCTCCCACGGCCCCCGCTCACCTCCCACGGCCCCCGCTCACCTCCCACGGCCCACAGTCACCTCCCACGGCCCCCGCTCACCTCCCACGGCCCCCGCTCACCTCCCACGGCCCCCGCTCACCTCCCACAGCCCACAGTCACCTCCCACGGCCCCCGCTCACCTCCCACAGCACCCGCTCACCTCCCACGGCCCCCGCTCACCTCCCACAGCACCCGCTCACCTCCCACGGCCCACAGTCACCTCCCACGGCCCCCGCTCACCTCCCACGGCCCCCGCTCACCTCCCACGGCACCCGCTCACCTCCCACGGCCCCCGCTCACCTCCCACGGCACCCGCTCACCTCCCACGGCCCCCGCTCACCTCCCACGGCACCCGCTCACCTCCCACGGCCCCCGCTCACCTCCCACGGCACCCGCTCACCTCCCACGGCCCCCGCTCACCTCCCACGGCACCCGCTCACCTCCCACGGCCCCCGCTCACCTCCCACAGCCCACAGTCACCTCCCACGGCCCCCGCTCACCTCCCACAGCCCACAGTCACCTCCCACGGCCCCCGCTCACCTCCCACAGCACCCGCTCACCTCCCACGGCCCCCGCTCACCTCCCACGGCCCCCGCTCACCTCCCACGGCACCCGCTCACCTCCCACGGCCCCCGCTCACCTCCCACGGCCCCCGCTCACCTCCCACGGCCCACAGTCACCTCCCACGGCCCCCGCTCACCTCCCACAGCACCCGCTCACCTCCCACGGCCCCCGCTCACCTCCCACGGCCCCCGCTCACCTCCCACGGCCCACAGTCACCTCCCACGGCCCCCGCTCACCTCCCACGGCCCACAGTCACCTCCCACGGCCCCCGCTCACCTCCCACGGCCCCCGCTCACCTCCCACGCCCCCGCTCACCTCCCACGGCACCCGCTCACCTCCCACGGCCCCCGCTCACCTCCCACAGCCCACAGTCACCTCCCACGGCCCCCGCTCACCTCCCACAGCCCACAGTCACCTCCCACGGCCCCCGCTCACCTCCCACGACCTCCAGTCACCTCCCACGGCCCCCGCTCACCTCCCACAGCACCCGCTCACCTCCCACGGCACCCAGTCGCCTCCCACGGCCCCCGCTCACCTCCCACGGCCCCCGCTCGCCTCCCACGGCCCCCAGTCACCTCCCACGGCCCCCGCTCACCTCCCACGACCTCCAGTCACCTCCCACGGCCCCCGCTCACCCTCCATGGCCCCCAGTCACCCCCCACGGCCCCCGCTCACCCCCCACGGCCCCCGCCCACTTCCCACAGCACTCACAAACCTCCCATGGCCCCTGGTCACGTCGCACAGTCCAGAATGCTGCCGGACAGCAGAGCGGCAGAGCCCCTCGTTCAGGCCTTCAGCAATAAAAACCCCCGGAGTGACCGGTGTGGGTCACCTGCTACCTCAGAGTATTATCCTCTTGCAGGTTGGTGGAGACCAGGACTTCTCAACCTTCTGTCAACACCAGAATCGTCAGGGGGTGTTAATCTCATGAGATGCAGGCCTCACCTACAGGGCCTTGGTCTCGGTTGCCTGAGAACTGACATCCTGGGGTGGGTGCATGGGTGGCTCAGACTCACTCGCTGTGATTAACGAGGAAACATCTGGAAGGAGGGTGGCTTCCTCGGGTCTGGGCAGCAGCCAGACAGACGGGATCCATGTGACGGGGTCAAGGGGAATGGAGCTGTCTACACAGCTCATTGCTGCCTCGTCTTGGGCCTCAGTGACGGCATTGTGTCCTGGGTTTCCAGGTCTCCTGGCGTTTTTGTGTGGATGGAAGCAGCTTGCTGCCGAGGTGTCCCCGTCTTGCAGTCCTGGACCCAATGGAGAGGCCTATTTCCTCTCAGATCCCTCATGTCCTCTTTCTCCTCGGTGACAGGGTGCCCCGTGCCCAGACCCGCGCTGACCTGCCCGCAGGAGCTGGAGCAGGAGCTGTGGGCGGTGAGGACTGATCTCTCCCAAGGCGCCTGTCCAGGTAGGAGTGGCCTGGCCAATGGCAGACCCTGCGCCAGGAGGCCTCCAGGAGACCATGGCCATGGCCCCTGGGGAGCTTCTTGTGGTGGCCTGACTGGTGGTTTGGAAGCCTGGGAGCCCTTTGACCTGTGGGCCCTCTGACCTCATGGAAGACAGAGGTGTCCGAGCTAAGCTGTCTGGGGCTCAGAGCCTGGCTTGCCAGTCACCATCTCTGCGCTGTAGCGAAGTTGCATGATCTCCTGTCTTTGTGTAAGTGAAGCCCAGCTTCCGGATCGGACAGACTCCAGCTCTTCTTCTCATTCAGCCAGGCCCACGGGGGCAGCAAGGAGCTGACCGCCCCGTTACTGAAGGACCTGTGTCGGTCCTGTCGTCAGGGTGCGGATGTCATGTTGTGCTGACGTCTTCCAGCTGGCAGAGGAGACGAGAGAGGAGGGAAGGTGTCACCCCTCCTGCAAACACCAGTTCCGCTCACACCCCACCGAGGAGAACTGGGCATTTGGACACCTGGGGTGGGGCTGGGAAGCGTGGTGATGCTGCATGTCAGTGAGGATAGTCTGTGACAGTCAGTCTGCCCCTGGAAGATGCTGGTAATGGTGTCTCTGTTGTCAGGTTGTTTGTTTGTGTGTGTTTTTGTTGTCGGGTGGTTTGGGGTGTGATGACAGATGTAGTAATGCATGAAACTGCAGAGCACCGCGTCTGAGCCATAGCAAGTGGCTCCTGAGAAGCAAGCTGTGGGCCGTGTCCTGGTATCATGAGTGATGTGTCTCTCATTTCCCACTGACTCCAAGGAAGGGCCTTTCTCTCTCTCTCTCTCTCTTTCCCTCTCTCTCTCTCTCTCTCTCTCTCTTTCTCTCCAGTCACTCTCCAGCTGTACCCTGCCTGCCCCGTCCTACCTTGTTCATCCCCCACCCCGAGTGTTAGTCAGAAACACAGGCACTTCCTGTTCCTGCCCCTCCTGTTTGGTAAAACCTCAAGATGACGTTGACCTTCTCTGCCCCACATGTGCACTGTGGAGGGCACTGGGGCGTCACGTCCCGTCTGTAATTGTGGCTGTGTCTCCACTCCATATCCAGGCAGGCTTGTGATGAGAGAGACCAGGGACCAGGAAAGAGTGATTACAGGCCTGGAAGTCGGAGGTAGCAAAGCACAGCAGACACAGAGGCACTATTTTCATTTTTATCTTTTTCACTGAACTGCTGATTTTTGGTTTTTCTGGGTTGACATTACTAACTGGCCTTTTTGTGTATTGGATTTCTTCAGGTGACAAAGAAAAATTCAAAACCACAGAAACTACCACTTGTGAGCCAACCCTGTGTGAGAGATTCTCGGCCCGGGAACAGCTGACGCAGAAAGTTCCAGGGGACTCCCAAGGAGACCAAACCAGGGACCAGTGTGGCCCATCAGAAGTGTCCCTGCAGGAAAGACACTTGAGGCCAGGGGTAGATCCACCAAGGAAGAAGCTCCCTGGGAGCCCTGACCATGGCAGCTCAGGGACACCTGAGGGTGCGGGTGTGAAGACTGTGCAGGAGCCAGTCCCTCCCAGAGGTGCTGTCCTGGACCACGGTTCACGTGAATTACGCAAAGATCCCACCATTCAAGAAGAGGAAAATACCTTTAAATGCAATGAATGTGGGAAAGCGTTTAACAAGAAACACCTTCTTGCGGGACATGAAAAGATTCACTCTGGAGTGAAGCCCTATGAGTGCACAGAGTGTGGGAAAACCTTTATTAAGAGCACGCACCTCCTTCAGCACCACATGATCCACACCGGGGAGAGGCCCTATGAGTGCATGGAGTGTGGGAAGGCCTTCAACCGCAAGTCATACCTGACACAGCACCAGCGGATTCACAGTGGAGAGAAGCCCTACAAGTGCAACGAATGTGGGAAGGCCTTCACCCACCGCTCCAATTTTGTCCTGCATAAGAGGAGGCACACTGGAGAGAAATCCTTTGTCTGCAAAGAATGTGGGCAAGTTTTTCGACACAGGCCAGGATTTCTTCGACATCACATCGTCCACAGCAGCGAGAACCCCTACGAGTGCTTCGAGTGCGGGAAGGTCTTCAAACACAAGTCCTACCTCATGTGGCACCAGCAGACCCACACGGGGGAGAAGCCCTACGAGTGCAGCGAGTGTGGGAAAACCTTCTGTGAGAGCGCGGCCCTCATCCACCACTACGTCATCCACACGGGGGAGAAGCCCTTCGAGTGCACAGAGTGCGGGAAGGCCTTCAACCACCGGTCGTACCTCAAGAGGCACCAGCGCATCCACACCGGGGAGAAGCCGTTTGTGTGTACGGAATGTGATAGGGCCTTCACCCACTGCTCCACGTTCATCCTGCACAAGCGGGCCCACACGGGGGAAAAGCCGTTTGAGTGTAAGGAATGCAGCAAAGCCTTCAGCACTAGGAAAGACCTCATTCGGCACTTCAGCATCCACACCGGGGAGAAGCCCTACGAGTGCGGGGAGTGCGGGAAGGCCTTCAACCGCAGGTCAGGCCTCACGAGGCACCTGCGGATTCACAGCGGAGAGAAGCCCTACGAGTGCAGTGAGTGTGGTAAATCCTTCTGCTGGAGCACCAACCTCATCCGACACGCCATCATCCACACCGGGGAGAAGCCCTATAAGTGCAGTGAGTGTGGGAAGGCCTTCAGTCGTAGCTCATCCCTCACTCAGCATCAAAGGATGCATTCTGGGAGAAACCCTGTCAGTGTGACCCAAGTGGAAAGGCCCTTCCCAAGTGGTCAGACTGCGCTCACTCTCCGAGAACTTCTGTTGGGGAAAGACTTTCTGAGTGTAAACACCGAGGGAAATCTGGTGCCAGAGAAAACATCCACCACAGCATCAGATTGCACCTACCAAAGAGACACCCCACGGGAATCTTCACTGTGAGGGAAGATAATGGTTGCAGATCGTCACTTGTCACATGCAGACACGTTTTAGAAACTGACACAGCCTAGAGCCTTATTCTCACCTGAGGATTTCTCTACCAGAGCATGCACCAAGGAAACCTTCACCTCTGTCTTTGACTTCATTTACATTGCAGTGTATCTCAGGAATTTCTTTTTTAGAAGAGAAAATGCAATGAGACTTCTCTGTTAAGCCTACAGCACTTTGTCGTGGATTACCTAGTTTACTTGGGGTAAGGGGTATGTTGTTTCGGGGGAAAGGCCTTGATCTTTGATGTGTTTTGTGTCCGTACATTGTTGTTGAGTGTCGGGAGAGTTAGACAGTTGAGGGCAAATGTTTAAGAAAAGGGTACACTATGAATGGGCATACCACTTAAAACTGTTAAGGCTTAGATTTTAAAAATAAAAAGCCACCATTCTTTATGTGGTTTTAAATTTTAAAACATTTTTTTTAATTCCTATTTATTTTACTTCTGTATTTAGACTATAAATCTTAAAATTCAGTAAAGTGATCCCTTTCTAGATATTATTTGAAATTGACTTAGCTTTCCTAGTTTCTTTAACTTTTCATATAAATCTTAAGGTATGTTTGTCTATTCGTACCAAAAAAAAATCTTACCCTCATTTTGATAGAAGTTTATTTATAACGTAGGTTGGTTTGAGAATCAGCATTATGAACAAGTATATGATATGACTACATTTAATTAATAACATTTGATTTACTAGTATTCATTAGCATTTTATCTAGGTTTTACCTTGATAGTGGCATTGATTTTTAAATTTAAATTTTCCACACAACCATACGCAACAATGTAAATTTTTTTGAGGGGTTGTTTTAGTAGCCTGCAACCTTGCTAAACTCACCTATTAGTGATTTCTTTGGATAGAATCCTTGGGGTTCTCTTCCTTAGAAATGTCAACTGCAACTAGTTTTATTTCTTCCTTCCCAATTTGTATACTTGTTATTCTATTATTTCCTTTTCTTATTGCACTGGCTAGGACTTCAGTATGATGGTGAATAGGAAGAGTATAATAAGGAAGGACATCCTTGACTGGTTCCTGATACTTACTGGAGGGAACATTCAGTTTTTTGTCATTAGGTACCATATTAACTAAGTTGTTTTCATAGTTTTTCATCAAATTTGTAACATTTCCCTCTATTCTTAATTTGCTGAGATTTATTGTTGTTATGAATAGGTATTGGATTTTGTCAAGTGCTTTGTCTGCATCGATTGATATGTTCATTTGATTTTTCCCCTCGATAGTCTGTTGGTACTACAGTATTGCACTGAGTATTGAATATTGAACCAGCCTTGCATTCTTGCAATAAACCCACTTGGTTATCGAGTATAATTCTTTTTATATACCATATTAAAGCATTCCATTTGAATATATCTTGTTGAGGAAGTTTTCTTCTAATTTCTTGAATGATAATGTGTAGTTCTCTTTGTTTTTTTTAAAACTCATTATATGGTTTTGGTAAGTATGGAACAATTGAGAATATATATTTCATATCGGATAGTTTGTCCTCGCAAGGAATTGTTGCATTTCATCTAAATTTTCTATTTTGTTTGTAGTCCTGATTGAAGTAATCTCTTATTTTTTTTAATGGCAGCAGGATCTGTACTTACATCCCATTTTATTCCTGATTTTGGAAATGTATCCATCTTCTTAGTCATTTATCAATTTCATTGACCATTTTGAAGGATCTGTACTTTATACCATTAATTTCCCCATATTATTATTCTGTTCTAATTTCTGGTCTTTATTATATCCTCTATTCCATTTGCTTTGGTTAAATTTTGCTATTTGTATTTTTTGAGATGGGTGTTGAAATTGTTGTTTTAAACTTTTCTTTCTTAATGTAAACATTAAGTACAGTTAAAAAACGGGGTATAACTAGTCATATATAGGCAGATCGAAAATACAGTTGGCCCTTAAGTGGTCAATTGGGGAAAAAGACATGTAAAACTTTAGACAATAATGAAAAAAGTTATTGAAAAAGAAACATCAGCCAAAACCGGTTTGGCTCAGTGGATAGGGTGTCAGCCTGCGGACTGAAGGGTCCCGGGTTTGATTCCGGTCAAGGGCATGTACCTTGGTTGCGGGCACGTCCCCAGTGGGGGGTATGCAGGAGGCAGCTGATTAGTGTTTCTCTATCATCGATGTTTCTTACTCTCTATCCCTCTCTCTTCCTCTCTATAAAAAATCAATAAAATATATTTTAAAAAAAGAAAAAAAACATCAATGATGAGAGACAATCAATGATTGGCTGCCTCCTGCACTCCCCCTACTGGGAAATGAGCCCGCAACCCAGGCATGTGCTTTTGACCGGAACTGAACCTGGAACCCTTCAGTCCTGTGGCCCATGCCCTAGCCACTGAGCCAAGCCAGAGAGGGTTTAATTTACATTGTTGTTGAAAGTATTACATAGGTCTCCTTCCCCCCCATAGAGTGCTATGACATTACAGCAGAAGGAATCGGAGCAAACAGCCCAGGGACAAGGCATGAGGACTCGGGTCCAGAGGAGAAACCAGGGGCCTTTTCAATAGTCCTGCCTCGGGGGTGTCACACAGGACGTGCTAACTGAAGCTCCCTCCAGACTGAAATGTTTGCCAGGGAAGCTCACTAGAGACTCAGTGCCCAGGGGCTTTAGGGGGCGCACTTAACCAGCACCCACACAATTCTAGCTTCCAGGGGAGCGCAGGTGTGGAGCATAAACCACTGTTTATACACAACACCTGGGCACATGAGCCACCCTTAAGAGTTTCAACTTTGCCCCCTGGCCCGTTTAGCTCAGTGGATAGAGCATGGACCTGCGGACTCAGGGGTCCCGGGTTCGATTCCGGTCAAGGGTATGTACCTTGATTGCGGGCACATAACCAGTGGGGGGGTGTGCAGGAGGCAGCTAATCGATATTTCTCATCGATGTTTCTAACTATCCCTTTCCCTTCCTCTCTGTAAAAATCTATTAAAAAAAATATATATATATATATTTATATTTTTATAAATATATTTATATTTATATTTTTATTAAAAAAAAATATATATATATATATTTTTTTTTTTTTAAAGAATCAACTTTGGGGTGAAGGTTTACATATATGCATAACCGTTATAACCAAAAAGATCACCTCGTCTCAGAACTCTTCCAAACTAGTCAGGATTTGATTTTTTTTTTATGACATTTTTATTTTTTTTTTTTAGAAAATACTGGTTGTTCCCTCAGAACTTGTACAAATTTGAGCTTTAACGATTTTTAAAAAATATATTTTATTAATTTTTTGTTCTAAGTATCTCTTCATACACTGGGGAAGGGAAGAAGAGAGAGGGATAGAGAGAAACATGGATCAGCTGCCTCTTGCAAGCCCCCTACTGGGGATGCACCCAACACCAAAATACATGCCCTTCACCGGAATTGAACCTGGGACCCTTCAGTCCGCAGGCCGACGCTCTATCCACTGAGCCAAAACAGGTTTCGGTTTTATGACGTTTTTAGAGAGAGGAAAAGAGAAGCATCCATTTGTTCCATTTACGCACTCATCGAAGTCTCCCTTTCTCACTTAAATCAATAAAAAAATTTAATAAATTCTATTTCCCTGCTATTTTTGCGAAGAGGTTCTAGATTGGGGATTTCTTTTTAAATTATATTTACCCAACTGTTTATCCTGTTGCCTCTCCAAAGGATTTCAACTTCATCAAATGTTGACACTTCTGTACACATCCGCCAAAATAAACGGGTGTCTGGGTGGCCTGGGGGAGCACACTTTGGGGGGGAGGGGCAGAGGCACCAACTTCGGGGGCCCTCACGTATGTACGTGCGTGACCGACGAGGGTCTTGGAAGTGGCCCGAACCGGATACGACCTTCAAACGGGCCATTTGGGCGCACACGTGGTTCCGGTTTCGGGGTTTCCCAACCAGACCAGGTGCCCCAGCAGCTTCCCGGGGGGTCGCTTAACATTCCCGCAGGCGCGCGTCCTGTTGCCTAGCTACCGAAGCCTGCATGCCCTACGCACATACGTCCGCGCTGCGCACCCATTGGCTGCTCCCTGATACTTCCTCGCGCTTCCTCAGCTCCCACTCTTCAGCTTCCAGCACTTCCCGCGCCCATCCAAGGCCCCGCCTATTCCGGTTGGCGCGCTGCCATCTCATTGGCCCGGCGTCCTCGGTACCAGACAGATACTCCCACCTCTGTCCCTTCTATTGGGCACGCTGCCTGCGCCTCAGAAATGTCAACCAATGGGAATAGACCAGGAAGTCCCCGCTCAGCCAATGGGGCGAGGGCGCGAACTATAAAAAGCCTGGTCAGCACCTCAGGGTGTGTCGTTGAGGAGCCTCCAGGGGGCGCAGCTAGTTGCGCCTGGAAGAGCGTCAGCCCGAGGGTAACCCCCTGAGGCCCCTGTTGGGGCTCAGCCGGACCCGCACCCCAGCTCCGCGGGGCTCCAGAGCGCGTCGCCCCGCCACCCTCTCCTCTCCGCTCCCCATGAGCGCCCCTCAGGCCTCGGCCTCGGGCGATGCGCGGCCAGCAGCGGAGAGGGAGGAGACCCGGGACCAGCGCTGGCCCGGGTGGCTCTGCATGGAGCCGTGGCCTGCTGACCGGAGCGCCCCAGGTTCGACTCCCGCCCCGGGCAAGTCCCTCAGCTGCAAGCCCCTCTCCCGCCGGATGGGGGCGCAGACAGGAGGCATCCCGTCCACGTGTTTATCTCCCATCCATGTTTCTCTCCCTCTCTCCCTCTCTCCCTAAAAAAAAAAAAAAATCAAAGGAAAAATGTCCTCGGGTGAGAACTAACAAATCCTGGTGTCAACCCTGACCGGGGTGGCTCAATGGATAGAGCCTGAGGACTCAAGGATCCCGGGTTCGATTCCGGTCAAGGGCATGTGCCTCGGTTGTAGGCACATCCCCTGTGGGGGGCGTGCGAGAGGCAACTGATTGATGTTTCTCTCTCATCGATTTTACTAGCTCTCTATCCCTCTCCCTTCCT